GAACATTTTATTAATGAGACAGAATAAGCTATGGAGGGAAGGGAAAACTTTTTCCCTCTACCCTCCTAGACTCTCTGAGTAGGGTCCTGTGAATTAGACTGACAAAAGATAGATTAACAAGAGAAAAACAAATCGAGTTTATTAACATGTGCATAGCACATGCAAAGTGATGAGTCACTCAAAAGAGTGGTTAGAACTTGGGCTTGTATAGCATCTTAACCAAAGAACAATAAATTTGTGGAGAAGTGACAAGACAAAGGAAACGGGTTTAGGCTTTTAAGGGAGGCAAATTGTGGAAGGTAAATATGGAAGAGGTAACGTAAGATAAGGATTGTTTTAGTTTTTGTTTGTTTGTTTGTTTTTTGTGAGGAGATCAGCCCTGTGCTAACATCTGCCAATCCTCCTCATTTTTTGCTGAGGAAGACTGGCCATGGGCTAACATCCATACCCATCTCCCTCCACTTTATATGGGACGCCGCCACAGCATCGCTTGCCAACCACTGTGTCGGTGTGCACCCAGGATCCGAACCGGTGAACCCCAGGCCGCTGCAGCAGAGCACGCGCACTCAACTGCTTGTGCCACCCGGCTGGCCCACGGATTGTTTCAGTAATGTTTGCTATGTAGATTCCTCTGGTGCCTTCTCTGGGCTGATAAGAGTCTGGAGTTGTCTCCAGTGATTAAGAACCGTCTTACCTCTCCTAGCGGGAGTGGGGGACAGAGAGTTTTTCTTATACCTGCTTCTTTTCAATTGCCTTCAGCTGAAAATGATCTTTATGCCAGAGTGGCATATTTTGGGGTGGCATACTCTGAACCCCTTCTGTTTATACCTAGAATATCCCTATTCTCATACTCAGTCATTGCTAGTTGCCTCGTACCCTAACACACAGACTTGCTCATCAGACCTCTTGCAGGTTCAAGATCATTAAAGCCCAGGAATCACGATAAGGGCCACTACCATGAATAAGATCTTAATAAGAATGAGAATGAGAAGGAGAAGGAGAACGAGAAGGAGAACGAGAAGGAGAAGAAGAACTAATATGTGTTGAGTACTTACAATATGCCAGACACCTTCCTAAAGGGTTTTACAGGTAGGTACTATTACAATTCCCATTTTACAGATAGGGAAATGGAGGCTTAGAGAGTTTAAGTAACATGCCCAAGGTCCCACAGCTAGTAGGTGGTAGCAGCAGGATTTGAACATATTCAGCCAGGTTCTGACACCATACATTCACCGAACAAACGTTTCTGGGGTACCTCTTGTGTGCCAGGCACTATTCTTGGCACTTAAGATACAACAGTGAGTAAAACCTACAGAGATCTTTGCCCTCATAGAGCATCCATTTTAGTCAGGGGAGATGGACAAAAAATGATAAATAGATTATATGATGTGTTAGGAAATGATACGGATACATGTGACGGTAGAAATAACAAGTAGAGCAGGGTAAGAGGGAGCAGAATTATAAGAGGTGATAAGGTTAGTTGCAATTTTAAGAAGGGTATCAGGGTAGACCTCATTGAGAAGATCATGTTGTTTTCTTTTTTCAATTTTCAGTTATAATTCTTAAAATGTTTAAAATTTTAAATATTTTAAAATGATGAAAAGTACAGAGAATTGTAAAACAAATAACCATGTTCCCACCACCCACAATTTGACAAATACTAACATTTTGAAATATTTGTTTCAGAATTTTCTAAAGAACGAAAGCATTGTAGAAATCATCAAAGCCCCTGCCCCACCCATCCCATTTCTCTCCATGCCCCCATACAACCAAATTTACTGAAATTGTTGTGCATCCTACCTATCCATATACTTACACTTTAACTATATATGTACATATTCATAAAAACATATAGACCAATTTGGTATATTTTAAAACTTGTGTGGATATCATTTCTATCATTTTTTTCCTCTCAACTTTATATTCTTGGGATCTATTTTTATGTTGAATGTGTAGATCTAGTTCATTCATTTTTAATGTCTGTATAGCATCCCATTGTATCAATAAGTAAAGCCACATTCTTAACTTCTCTTCTAGTGGTTCAACACACATCCTTTTACTTTTTATATTAAGCTTTAGAATCAAAAAACGTTTAGAACTTGAAGGAACTCTAAGGACAATGTAGACCATGAGGAAATAGAGAGGTTGTGTCTTCTTAATGTCTAATTGTCCCAAGGTCACATAGCCACTCAATGGAAAAGATGGAATTAGAACCTGGTAGCTTCATACCCAGCACAGCACTCATTTCAACTATCACAGCATTACATTTCAATTCTAGATATCTACATAGAACTATCTATAGAACTCTCTCTATATAACTCTCTATATCTGTATTTTATACAGAAATAATATAGTAGTAAAAAAGAGAACAAAACGTATATGTTTTTCAGGAATAATAAAACTATTAAGCTAAATTAGATAGACAGTAGCTTTAAAACAGCATTAATAACCCATTAATGATTATAATAGTTCTTTTTCCTCAGTCTGCTATGTAAGTATTTTTTAAAAATTGAATGCTCTTATTTTAATTCATTTGTGACCATGTTTTGTTTTTCTTTAGGAGATAAGGACGCCAGACTGTGAGACTGTAACATAGGCGGTCAGATGAAGTTCTGTCCCTAGTTTGGTCACCAGCAGGGCCCAAGGAAACACAAGGCACAATTCTAAAACGTAGTTGTCCCAAAGCTAATGTGAGGTAGCTGATCCTCTTTTCTCTCACTACTTGTCTTCCCAACTGTTACCTACATGTTCATCTGACAGGGGTGTCTTGACTGCCTATTACATGCAAAAGACTATAATTCCAAAATCATTTCTTGGAAGGAAGAAATGATTTTAACATCTATGCTTCACCATATTCAACCTAGAAATACAGAACTTTGTTGAGAGGTCAAGAGACACCATAACAGCACTAATCCAAGACACTGACTTTGAATATGGGCATTAACTGAGAAAGATCGTTTTGACAGATTTTGAAATCTTTACATTCTTTTCTGGAGCCAAAACCCAAAAACCCATCTCTTTCTCGAACGAAACAAGCAAATGAAATGGAGTGCAAAATGAACCTACAGTGTAGTATGTGTCACTGGCAACTGATGGGTCTTATGACTTGGAGATATTCAAGTCTATACACTTACTCCTTTTATGACATAGTTCTGAGACCTCCTTGAACTTCATTTGTGGAAAAGCAACGCTAGCAGTCAGAAGTTCCTAATTCTCATCGTGTTTTGTGTTATCCTAATGAACTAGGTAAGCCATATAACCTCTTTCTCTCTAGGAAATGTTACAATTACCCACCTACTTTCTAGAAGCACTTTAAATGCTCAAGCGTGATGAGTCTGTAGGGGAAAATGGTTTTGCTTTCATCCTGCTACCTAAAGCGTTGATATCTTTGTAGATTGTGCCTTTCACTTCCTTGACTTGCCTAAAACCTGATTCCCACCTCATTATCTGTGCATAGGGGATTGGATGGACGCCACTTCAAATACTACTCTTTTTCCTTCACATAAAGAAACTTTATCGCTTCAGAACTTATGCCATCTGGTTCTATTTCCCTCCATCATCCTCTGTGCTCTCTTCCTCAAATTTCCTGGTCACTTTATTCAGACTTTGCCTCTGGACCACTTCTTCGTAAACCCTTTTTTTAAAAACACTCTTTGACTTCCACAGATTGTTGCATTAACAACATGGTTTGTTTTCATTCATTCATTCATCCATGCACCTGTCTAAATTTTTTTTAAGAGACTTTTTTAGAGCAGTTTTAACTTCACAGCAAATTGAGAGGAAGGTACAGAGATTTCCCTTATACTTCCTCCTCTCACATATGCATAGCCTCTCCCATTATCAGCATCCCCCACCAGAGACATTTGTTAGAATCGATGAACCTACTTGACACATCATTATCACCCAAAGTCCACAGTTTACATTAGGATTCACTGTGGTGGTGTACATTCTAGGTTTTGGACATATGCATAATGACATGTATCTATCATTATGATCAGATGTATCTTTCGCAAATATTTTCTCCCAGTCTGTGGCTTGTCTTCTCGTTCTCTTGATGGTGTCATCCACTGAATTGTTAATATATTACTATGTATCAATCACTGTTGGGGAACAAAGCACTATTCCTGGCCTCAAGGAGCTCACAATCTAGTGAGGAAGACAGGCAGAAATTGATAATGACAAAATTGTATGAAAGGCCCACCTTTCCTAGGCCATTTCATTGTCCGTGTATAAGACACTGTCCTGCACCCTAACCTCATTGGACCTTAACTTTAGCTCTGACAATTTTAACCTCCACCCCACTTCAGCAATCCCCTCCAATGACCATGCCCTGGGGCAGGACTGACAGGCAAATATCCCATTTCTAAAATCTCGAATGCCGACACACCATTCACTGACAACTTCCAATCCTTTAGCTCTCCCCTCTGTAGTGTTACTAAATCTTTCATGCCCAATTTCTTTTCACTCCTATTCTATCCCTTTCTTACAGGCTCCTCCTCCCCTAAGTTCTACTTTCTCCCTCAATGTTTCCTAAGAAAAAAAAAAAGAAAGATACTGATTTTCTGCTTCCTTCATATGACCTTCTCTTCTTGCGTCCCTGGGTCTCAGTCCCAGGCACGTTCTGCGCACACTGTCGCTCATTTTTCCTTGTTGTGTGACAACACAACATCGTGTCTGTGTGGTCATGCTCTGCGGCTTCCCGCAGAGGGGTGGTGGGTGCAGGATATACAGACCTACAAAGTTTTGAAAGCCGGTAACGCGCCGCTCAGCGCTCCCTGCTTTCCCAACTCCAGGGCTACGTCCAGCCTCTAGGACCGCGCGAGTCCAGCCGGCTCCCGGGGCGTGGCTTCCCGCGTGGGCCGCTGACCTGGATTGGCTCCAAGGGGCGGGCCTCCGGCCAATCAGGCGCGGGGCCGTTGCCCGGGGGCGGGGCTCCCACCTCCCGACTCCCGCGTGGCGGGTTCCCGGGTTCCTGGCGGGCCACGAGCGACCCTCCCCGCTCCCGGCGGCTGCTGACTCCCTCCGGCCCGGAGGACCGGGCGGGACATGGCCTCGGCCACGGTGGCAGCAGCAAGACGGAGCCTCGGCCGGGCCCCTCCGCTCCTCCTCCAGCGCGGCTACCAGACGGAGAGGGGTGTCTACGGGTACCGGCCGAGGAAGCCCGAGAGCCGGGAGCCCCGGGGCGGCCTAGCGCGCCCCCCAGGTCTGGGATGGGGCCCGGTCAGTGGGCGTGGGGCTCGGGAAGCCGGGGGCCGCCGTGCCGGGTCTGCGGTGGGGGAGGTCGGGCTTCAGGGGGCCTGCAGTGTGCGTGCAGGCCGGTGGGGAGGAAGGGAAGGCGAGGCAGGCGTGGGTGTTGTCAGTGTCGGGGTCACCCTTTGTCCAGGCTCGGTAGGTGGGGAACCTTGAGGTCAGGGTCTCAACGTTCGGTTCCACGCTTGAGTGATTTTCTATCTTTCAAGTTCTACTGGTTTTGTGAGGTCTTGTCTTTTCTATTCCTCGGTTGTAAACATGTGGGAACTGAGCTCTTTGCGGAGGGGGAGCTGAGGGAAAAGAGAAGTTCTGAGATCACCCAGCTCCCGGAGTTTAACAAGGATACATTTCCAGGGCCATCTCCAGGGCTCGTGGGAGCGGGATGTGTGGGGATCATGACTGTACTGCTAGGGTGAAGAGGGCAGTTAGCTAGTGGTCTTGGACCACAGCATTGTATTTATTGTCAGTCTTCTCGACCTAACTAGCCTCTTACTTCAATTTCAGAGTTTAAAACTCTTTGCTGAACTTAGAACCATGTTACTAGTGGTTTTAATGGATTAGGAGACATGAATATCAGTTTTTGGAACCTCTCTTGCTTGCCGACTCATGTGCAAGAGACTGATTTTGAGTATTTGGTTTATGCTCCAAAGTTATTGTATCTTATTCCTCCTCAGAGTAGAAGATGAATACAGATTGATTATTAGAGGAAAATCATTTGGCATCTTTTTTGTTTTTGGTCAGGAAGATTGGCCGTGAGCTAACATCTGTGCCACTCCTCCTCCACTTTACATATGGGAGCCGCAGCATGGCTTGATGAGTGTTGCAAACCTCCGCACCAGGATCCAAACCTGCAAACCCCTGCCACCAAAGAGGAATGCGTGAACTTAACCACTAAGCCACTGGGTCGACCCTACCATTTGGCATCTTTGATCCATTATTAGTTAACAATGGAGATCCCCTTCATCATCTAATCGCCTGACATTTGAATCTTACACACTGAAACCTCAATATTTTGCTCTTGACCTCAGGGAATGTTTAGAATAAGCCTGATTTCTTTCTCTTGAATGCAATGGGATTTTAGAGAAGACATTTTGGCCAACTAGATTGTTAATCCCTTGAGGGTAAGACTATAGGTATCTTATTTCACTTTGCAAATTGAGTGTCAAGAATTTTTTTTTTCCTTTTTTTGGTGAGGAAGGTTCGCCCTGAGCTAACCTCTGTGCCAGTCTTCCTCTATTTTGTATGTGGGTCGCTGCCACAGCATGGCCACAGAGGAGTGGTGTAGGGCCACTCCCGGGAACTGAACCTGGGCTGCAGAAGCGGAGCAAGCCAAACTTAACCACTGGCCACGGGGCCAACCCCAAGTGTCAAGAATTTTATGTCAGTTGTTCTCAAACTTAAGTGTGCATTCAAATCACTTTGAATGATGTTAAAAATGCTAGTTCTAGGCCTCCTTCCCTTCCTCTCCCCTGGGTTCTAATTCAGTGGTCTGAGATGAGGTTCAGGAATGTGTATTCTTTGTTTCGTTTTGTTTTTTGGTGAGGAAGGTTGGCCCTGAGCTAACACCTGTTGCCAATCTTCCTCTCTTTTTTTGCTTGAGGAAAATCCACCCCGAGCTAACATCCATGCCAGTCCTCCTCTATTTTGCATGTGGGATGCCACCACAAGATGGCTTGATGAGCAGTGTGTAGGTCCGTGCCCAGGATCCGAACCAGCGAGCCCTAGGCTGCTGAAGTGGAGCGCGTGAACTTAACCACTACGCCACTGGGCCGGCCCCAGGAATCTGTATTCTTATCAGGCATCCCAAGTGATTCTCTAGCAGCAGGTGCATGGCCACCTGCGGCCAAACACTGTTACAGTCATAAGGGATGTGTGTGCAGGACATTTGACAACCCATCTTCATTTAAGATCATATCAGCATGAGCTCGATGCACAATTATTGTGATCTCATTTGAGGTTTTCCCTTACAATCGGGTTTCTATTTGATTCCTATTAACAGTCTGGCAGCTGAGAATTAAGCTTTGCCTTGGAAAAACCTGGGCCAGTGGTTCTTAACTGGAAGACTGTATCCTAACCATCTTGGAGCTTTGGGCTAGGGTGATTTAAAAAACATCTCTGGAGGGGCCAGGCTGGTGGTGCAGCGGTTAAGTGCGTGCGCTCTGTTTTGGGGCCAAGGGTTCGCAGGTTCGGATCCCCGGGCACGCACTGAGGCACTGCTTGTCAAGCTATGCTGGCGGCGTCCCATATAAAGTAGAGGAAGATGGGCACGGATGTTAGCCCAGGGCCGGTCTTCCTCAGCAAAAAGAGGAGGATTGGCATGGATGTTAGCTCAGGGCTGATCTTCCTCACGGAAAAAAAAAAATCTCTGGAGTTGATTTTATATATATAATCCCCTCCTCCCTGTTCCCTCATCACCAAGTTGTCCCCTCTCCCCCTCCGGCTAGTAATCAACTTGCTGTTTTGTAAGGTGCTTGGTGAAATTTGAAAGTTCAGTATTGCATTAGAACTGCAGGCGGAGGGTACCATCTTGTGTGGTATTGGGAGGGAAGAGTAAAATCAATACTGGGAAACAATTGTTTGTTGCAAAGTTGCGCGATCTGGCTTAAGAAATTTTGTCGCTAAGGGCAATAACTTTATTTTCATTTTCCTTATTTTTTTAAATACTCAATAAAACTTGAAGGCAAGTGGGCCATTTTGTTACTTTCTTCAGAATTACCATTGCATGTAGATCTGTGACAGGTTTCTCTTCTTTCTGTTTCAGAACTTATCACATTATTTTGTAGTAACTCTTTTTGTGGTTCATTATCTCCTACTGGGCGTGTGTGAGAAAGGAGGAAGGAGAGTTTTATATATCACTTCCAGTAGAATCTCATTGGCTAGAACTTGGTCCGTATATATCTGCAAAGAAGACTAGAAAACATAGTCTTTATTCAGGGTGGCCGTGTGCCAGCTAAGAATTATTTCGAGAAGAGGAAAATAGATGTTGGAAAATAACTAGTAATCGCCACACTCAACCCCTTTGGCCACTCAAATATCATACGCTTTTCTTCCCATACGTAGAATGTATTCACCTCCTCTCTTCTCCGTGCAATTCCTGAATCCAGCTCAAAGTCCATTATCTCTGGAGAACGTGCAGCCCTCTCCATCAGGTCTGGCTGTGGCTCCTCATGGTCTGGAATTTTATGAACTGCCATCCACCCCATATATACATATATTCAATATACAAAGAAAACTCCCATCCATAATAGGAAATGATGAGGACTCTACAGCAGTCATTCGTTTCAACCAATTATCACATCCTGTTGAGGAGGAATGATAAAGCTCCTTGATGTGTCTTTGTAGTAAGTTCACAGTTTTATTTGGCCCCTCAACTCTGCCCTCTGTTGTTCCCCTGGCTTTGCCATATAGAGTCTTCCTTATCTATTATCTTCTGTGGCCATCTCTGACATGGGCATTGGGGAGTAGGCCCCCTTGGGGGCTGCACACCTTCCACAGCCTACTTTATTTTGATCAAGTTAGGAGCCCGAGAGTTACTTTAGGGGTTCATCAATGACAGGGTTTTTTTTGGCCGGAGTTGGGATTTCTTTGGCAGACCAATTTTTTAATAAAATTCATAGGTCTGTAATCTTTTTGCTTCTGGTCATTCCATGAGCAAGATCTCATCTAGACCTAGTTTTTAAGCCTGAAAACGCTGGTCTTTTATTTACAGGTTCTGTGCTGTGTCTATACAGCTCCCTAAATTTAACGGTGCTTACCTTGAGACCATCTGAAATAACATGCTGGAGTGGGAGGACAATACCCCTTAACTGATCTTGAAGGCTCAGCTGGCTCCCCTGGTCTAACAGAATGCTTACTAGAAGGTACTTGAAGAAGGGTTTCATCTGTTCTCTTATCTTCTGCTAAGACAGCCTCTTCAGAACCACCTTTTATAATTGCTTCTACTTTTCCAACCTTGTCAGGGTCCACCTTCTGGCTACTGAAGCCAGACAGAGATTACCTCTTATTAGCAGAGCTGAATTTCTCTCCATCTCTGCTTGCTAATTTGCTAGCTCCAACTTGACCTCATCTTTCTCCAGGGCTTTCTGGAAAATGACAAAAAACAATGAACACACGCTACTGAGCACAGGCTCTGTGGGCATGTAGTCTGCCTTTCAGGATTTCGCAGGTGACAGTTTTACCAAATGTTTTGTCAGATAGCATAATACTGCTCATCAACTTTCTGGTCTGAAATATCTAGGTCCTCGGCACCCACCACCTGACTGCTAAGCCAGTGTCATATGCATGTTAGGTTCTATTATGGCAGCAACCCACCTCGGGTACCAAATTCTGTTTCAGATAGGATGAGTCTGGGGGCTGTGCCAGAGACCTGGAATAACAGTGACTTAAGTAAGATAAGTAAAAGTCTGAGCTGGTATGACTGCTTTGCTCTAAAGTCATAGGGGGTCAAGCTCCTTCTATGTTGTTTCTTCCCATCCGGTGTGCATTGCTCTCAACTCTGGTGCAGGATGGCTCACCACTATATCCACATACTGACCGGCAGGAAGGAGGAAAGGGGGAAGGAAAGAGAACACCCCTCCCTTTAAGGGCCAGACCAAGAAGTTGCATACATCACTTCTACTACCTTCTGATTGGTCAGAACTTAGTCACACAGCCTCAATGGCTGCATGGAAGGCTGCGAATGTCTATCTCTATTCTAGGTGGCCATATACTCAACTACCTGTTACTATGAAAGAGAAGGGGGGAATGGATGTTGGGAGTTATAGGGTCTGTGCTACAGATGTATTGTAAAAATCTGGCGCAAGCAATCCACCTTCAACTTTTCCACCTCATGCTTCATATCATATTTTGAGCACTATATTTCTCAGTGCTTTGTTTTCTTTATATTTTCACTAATTAGGATCCTAGTCTAGGCTTTTAATTCCGGTCTACTGCAAAACATAGTTTAATTCAAGG